TATTGAGCACCGCCCCTTCAGAGGACGCTCCGCCCACCGTGGGGGTGGGTCCTCATAATTCGACTTCTCAACTTTGACCATTTTTCACAGATTTCGAGCTGTTACTTTGCCTTACTCGTTACTTTGCCGTCGGCACTGCCCGATTCGGTGTGCGGCTGCTCACTGTGGGCGGAGTACTGCCCAGATGGTATGTGCTTGATTCTTTTTGACCACCTCCCTACTGTTTTCTTGGGCCCACCTTGCGAGCCTAGTGGTCGCAGACAGACAGACAGACAGACAGACAGACCTACAAACACACCAAGCTTCTGCATTATACACTGCGTTTCATAAATATAGGTCCACCCTAATTTTTTGCTATTCCAAAGTTGCTGTGCATTTTTGGAAAATGCCGCTATTATTAATAGTTTCCCCATAACAAAAAACCTTGATACTTGATTTATGGAGAAATCTCGATTCAGAATTATTAAAATATCTTCATTAGAACGTATTTTCACCGTTTCGCAAATATGACTACACATCACTTGTAGAGAGGTTTTACTAAAACAAAAAAACGTCACGAATTTTCAATAGTGGGATGATCCCCCAATAATCATAAGGAACACAATAATACGTTTTGAAATGCTGGTAGCCAAATTAGCTACTACAGTTGATCGAATTCGTCCGGGCGCGGATATGATTCGACCTTTCACGCTTTTCGGCTTGTTCCTATTTTGCTTTTACTTGCTGTGGAACTTATAATAACAATTGGAGCCCAATGATTCTCGTATTGGAACAATTCAGATAAGCTGGTGGCCAACCGGATAACTTGGCCACATTCTTTTCCTGCAAATCCATTTGGCGCATGAGGCACCGGCATGGACACCGGCGTTATCGTGTGGGAAAATCAAGGATAGAGGGGATCCTTGGTTGAAAAAATGGTAATACTCGCTTCGAAAGGACTTCAACGATACCCTGTGAAATCTTTGTGAACGGAACAAAAGCGAGCTCTAGCTGCTCAGTCGTTCAAAGGTGCTTCAAACAATAAGGGATTCACCGCCGAAATTACGTTACATTGCAACCATCTGCGATTTTCACGCGATCATCCTGTACCCTCTTTTCTGCCATATACACCTTGAATAAACTTTTCCACGTCGATCTCAGACCACCTGTAGAAGGAAACAATTAGGTAGAGCCCAAGATCGCGAAGGGTCTTAACAGCCACACCATCGCTCATTAAGTTGAGCCCTTTTCCACGGAGAAATGGAGACTTGCGATCTTGTAGCGCTCGAATAATCTTGGAACGCTCTTCATCAATCCGTTGAAGATGTTATTGCTCTGCTGGCTTACTCACCACACGGTGGTTTTGCTCACGGAAGGCCGCATTTCAGTACGGACTTTGTTCGGACTCCTTGTATAATTCGAGAGAAGACACCCAATTCCTCCTAAATTTTGAAGGAAACGCAGTCTTCATTTACCTAAGCGACTCTTCTCTCCGCACTGACCAGGATTTTGCACATAGTCGCTTATGCAGTATGAGCCGGCCGACATGGGAGGAAATTCTGCACCTCAGCTATTCCACTTCAGTAAGCGCTCTAGCTTGAGCTTGTTACTGGGAAGAGAGGCGAATAACAGGAGGTACGGTAAACTCGATGTCGACTGAGCCCACATATTTCCCCGCTTCCCTGATTCCCTTCACGGATCGTGAAAAATGGAAACTTTTTATCAGTGGCCCGATATTCATGAAACGGTGAAAATTCGTTCCAAGAAAGTTATTTGGGTTACTTGAGGGGGGAATTCGTCAGAAAGACACTATGAAGGTTTTCCGTGATGAGGAATCTAACGGTGATAGCAGCATTTACAAAAAATGCACAGCAACTTTGGGGTAGCAAAAATTTAGGGTGGACCTATATTTATGAAACGCAGTGTATATAGAGGGATTGTTTCATTTGAACGAACTGACTACATGATTTCTTTGACTTTTACCTTTACATTTACTTTCAATTAATTCGATTGATCGATGATTTGTAACCTATTCTATGCTTATAGACGATATCGCATTCAGCTACAATTTTTCGGCTCTGATCTGAGCTGACGACTGATATTCTTTTATCAAGATTAGAAAATCTCAATGAATTATTATCGTAAGTTTCTAGAAGATTCAGCGATTGAGAAAAGAAAGCTTTAGAAAGCCGTTTGTGAATCGGTTTTTGACCGCTACAGCAAATCTCTCATGCACTCCCCAGAACAGGCGAGCCACACCCACGGAAACTACGGGGCTCCTCCCGACCCTTAACTCACACCTTTTTCAACAAACCCCGCCTTCCGATGTCAGTTTCCACGTGACGCTGCTTGAAGAACACGGGCGCACTCAAGTTACAGCTTTCTGCTTTGCGGCGCAATGTTATCGGCACTAAAGAAACTGGAGCTAGGTCCACTCGTCCAACACCCCCTTCTTTATCTCAAGGTGGATTGTGGACGAAGGACAAGAAGTTCCTATTTAGGACGTGATCGGAGGTTTCCTTCCTTTCTTTTTCTTTTTCGATATTCAATCTCTAAGATTTTGAAGCGCTTATTGTAGAAGAATAACAGGCAACATTATATTTTTCTTGTTGAAAGGATTTGAAAAATGCAAATAGATTTTTGTTCAAGCTGCTAAATCGGCTTGTTTCATATGGAAAATTTCCTTTATTTCAGGGATTGTTACATGATAGATGCCTTATACGGGCATTCTAAGAAAGTTCGCCTCGTTTGCCACGACGATGAGAATTTCCTCTACACGATAGGGGATGACGATGTGAGCGTATTTGAATAACTTTCTAAAATGGGACAATGAGCGCTTGTCATATCAGCTCAGCAGGAATTATGCCTTTCGGTTCAAGAGTTTGATAAAAATACGTGCCGCGCAAATTATTTACGAGGAAGCCGATCTCACATGAACACTGAATGGGGTCCAGAATATTCCAAACATAAGTGAAATTTAGGCATGGCGAGCCAATCTGTTTATATCGCACTCCTTATCACTTTATCATCCTCTCTCATATCCCACACAATATTCGTGACACAAAAAACAAATGTCCTCTGAGTATCTTTCATTCGCTAAGGGCTAGAAAGGCTGCCTTTGAATCGATCATTTGAATCATCAGGCCACTGCTTCACGTTGAACCCATAACGGACGGTCAGTGTATCTTTCGCGCACGTCACCATGTGGCGCACGCCGCCACCCAGGGTAGGGTTTATGTAGGCTTATGCGAACAGCAGGGTCAAGACGGGGCTAAAGTATGTAAGTGTCCGTGTCTCATCATCCAAAAGAAGAGATGTCTGTTGACGATAAGTTCGTAACCCGCCTTTCCGCTCTAAAACTAGGGTGCGAAGAATGAATGGAAGCTGTAGGTGACATTATCGAAAAATGCGAAATAACAACCCCGAGCGAGGGTGTGGCTATATTTAGGGGAAGAGGTCTCGGGAAGTGTGAACCATGGGTAAGCCACCCATCAAATAGTAAACTTATGTTAATTAAGACAAAATGTATGTAAAATTTATTGTAGGTTTGTCAAAAATCCAGTCGTCCAGGTCCTGGGAAGATATTCTATTCCACATTGCTGAGAGTATAGTAGTATAAGGGTATATTAAGATTTCTAGAGACATTCCAAAAGCAAAAGAAATAATCGTGGGCCAATAATAGTGAGCCGCAGCCAGGTCCAGGATACTCTCTCCTTCGGCGTTCCTCACCCCAAATCCTCTACCCCCGTGCACCCTTTCCAGGCCTCTTCTTTCACTGCCTACGTGACCATTCAAATCACCTGCTGTGGTGAGGTAGTCACCTTCCCACGTCGTTCTGATGGCATCATCAAGGCTGAGATAGAACTCTCCTTATCACTTTGGGGGCACACGGCTTTCGGTGCGTACACGGAGAGTATGGTCCAGTCCAGTCCTCATGTCCTATCCTCACAGCCATGATCCGATCGCTGATCCTGTTCACAGCGGAGACATAGCCCTTGAGCGACTCCGCTACTGCTATGGCCACACCGTTCCGATTGGTGTCTTCTACATTGTAGTAGGGCTTGACACCTTCTCCGATTTTCCTGGCCTTAGCACCTTTCCATCGCGTCTCTGGAAGGATCAGCAACCTCTTGGGACTTCCCAGTTAGCGACCCTACGTTCAGGCTCCCAATTTGAACTATGTAGCTTCTTTGGGCTAGGCCATTCACTCCTCGGTAGCCCTCGCATACTGAGCCTCGGCAAGGGTTCTGCGCGCCACTTCCGGGTGACGTCCTAGCTTCATCACTGATTCCTTTTTCGACTTTAGACATATTTGTTGTGACGGAGGTCTGTCAACCTCGGCCTAACGCTGCTACTAGAATAGCATGGTTGAGAGCCGAAAAGTTCGCGAGAGAACAGTCAGGCAAACATTGGCAGCAGTTGATCTAGAGACAATAAATGTTGAGAACGCATTATATAAGAACATCAGTGCAGCCGGCGGTTCGGACGCAAGATTACAAACATCGTCGGAAAGTTTAGAGAAGTTTAAATCGAACGCCGAAGCTCCGCACGAGCTATTGGACGGAGCGCAAACGACACTCACAACGTTGACGTTAGTTCAACAGGAGTTAGGGTCTTCTGAAGTATAGCATTTCTTAGGAGCAACTGATATATTGAAAAAGAAGCTTACACCAGCTCCCAAGTTTAGCGGCGAAGTTTGGGGAATGGGAAACATTCTGAGAAAATTTCGAAAAAATCCAAATAAGGATACCTGATAATGGGACGAAACGTCAACCAAGAAACTGATGTTAAGAAACCTCTTTTTGAAAACGTAGATACACAAGCAGACAGAACTGCCAGAACAGAAACCACAGCAATGGAATCCATTGACGTCAATTGGACAAAGACCATCCACAGATTCAGGTTTCTCAACACTAAGTTCTGCCAAAACAATCATAAAGCAATCATCAAGAAAGAAGCCAATTTTGCCCCACACACAATCACCAGTAGCAGCACCATGTACTGAATCCCTGTTGAACTCAATGCTCGCCAATGGTGATGAAGGCCAATATGAAATAATATCCGCTACACTCCTCGTCACTCCACCACTTCAACGTGCATTCCCAGCACAATCGCCCACTCCTACCTCCAGTGCCACAAACTCCAACTGTGCACCCTCAGCACCACATCCACGTCCACCGCCACCTACACCTATGCCTACAAGTCCACCACCTCCTAAACCACCCGATATTACAACTCAAGAAAGACAAGACGATGGAGCAAGAACACCACCATTAATACCAACTTCACCACCGTCTTCAGCCCAATACCTGACATCGAAACCTGCACCTCTCACAGATTCTCCGTCAGTGAAGATCCGAGCAAGAAAACCGAAAACTCACCAACAAACGGAAGCATCAACAACGTGTGAAAGCAAAAGGAGGGGGAGGACGTGGCTACGTTCACCATAACTCAAGATCACGACGAATGCTATCATGAATTTCGGAAAAAAATGAAAAATTCGACCTGGAAGTTCGCCGACCAGTACGAGAAATACCATCCGCTCGCGAGCAACTCACGTCAAATCAGTGGATCTCACAGCAGCCCGCGCCACCAACACAACCCGCCGCGGACTATTGAGATTCTATCTATGATCGACCGAGCCTACTTTCAAGAAAGGAAAAACTGGATCACCGAAACAGTGATACAGGTGATCTAATCATCTCCTCGTCTCAACGGTAGTAGCAGAACGACTACAGATGCTCAAGAGATCTCCGAAAGCCGACTCCATGAACGCTTCTTTATGCTGACGACGTGATGCTCGCTGGCGAAGATAAAAGCACGCTCGCGCAACAGGTGGAAACCTTGTTCGACCGTCTTGTTATGTTTGGACTCGGCGTAAACGTCAAAAAGACCGAATACTTGACCGAATACTTGACTACCGATTTGCGTGAGTCAGGCTTCATAAGGATAATGGTACTAAGCTCACACGTTCCACATCATTCAGTATATTGGATCAGCAATAGCGTCTGATGGCAGCCTGGCTTCTGAAGCGAATTCTCGCGTGAGAGCAGCTCGGTCGAAATGGCGTTTGATGAGTGTTCTCTGCGATAAAAAACATGCAAAAGCGTCCCAAATATCAGCTCTATAGAACCGTCATCCGGCCGGTCGCGAATCACGGCTGGCCTACGTCCAAAGAAGTTGTGGCTCTTTTTATGCTGGACACAAGGATGCAGTGCTTAACAGCCGACTAGACCGCATTCATAATGATATCATAGGGGAGCATTTGTGTAGCTGCGATAAAATGTTGGAAGCCAGTTTTCGATGGTACGGTCATATTATTCTGACAGTGTCCGTATCGATCTCAACCTTGACGTGCCCGGAAAGCGGGCTTGAGAACGTCCGAAGCAGCGGTGGCTCCATACGTTGCACGGAGATTTGGAAACGGTGAACATCTCCCCGTTCAAGCATTTAATCGGGAAAAGTGGCGTCAACATATAAGAAAAGTGGATCCCGCCTACAAGAGGGACAGAAGCTAAAGAATAAAAAGAAGCCCACTCACGTTAATTGGCGGCAATATCCTTGACATCCTACACCGTCACCATCCTGCCGGGCTTGGAGATGCGAAGCCATCGCGTCGTCGTCCTTGTAGTCCGTCGTCCATCAGCGGCAAGGGGCATTTTGCGGCCTATCTGAAGGGGCCTGCAGCCGACAGCTTCCAAAGGGTATCGCGGACACTGACGTACCAGAGTCGACCGGAAGGAGCAGCGTACTCGAATATGCTGCCAGTGGCTACCAAGTCGTACGGCTTCCTCGCATTTTTCGACCAACGCTTTTCGAGAGGGAGCAAAGTGCACAGAGGGTAGAGGTGCCTTGCTTAAGTAGCCTGACTGGAAGCACAACCGTAGACGAACCATACCCCTTGTAGCTGGCGCATGCCGCGCGATCGCGGTCAATGAGCGCGGCAGAGCCCAGGAGAGCGGTACTCCGCAGCAAGGTCAAGCGTGCGTTGAGGAATCCTCGACATGACACAGAGGGGGGGGGTCGTATTGGCCCGCTGGGGAGAGATCGGGTCCGATTGATACGGTAGGATCATCGTCGGAGGACAAACATTAAGGATCGAATCCATACCAGGCAAGAGTATTTCCAATAACAAGTGATTCCGTCCACACAGAATCTTCGTGATTTAGAGGTGTCCGCTTAGCAATTCTCAGTGACTTTAGTGTTTCATCACCACAGTAGTCAAAGGATCCGAATTTCGCACGTTTTCTAGGGATATTTTATCTTTCAAGTAGGTCCTCAAATCCATCGAGATGTGAAGCCACAACAGCGCATCCCAACGTGGCCCCAGTGTGTTGCGCGCGTCAGTTACGGCTATTTCTTTTAACGAATCTTAATTCAGGAAGAATCAAGAGGGTTCTGAAAGAGTTCATTAAATTACAGAGAGGAGTGCACTATTCAACAAGAAACGCAGCCTTCAGCGTCAAATTCGCAAGCAGGTAACCTTTAAAGTTGAGACCCGCTAAACAATTTTACGCTTTTTGCAGAGAGGAAAAGCACGAAGATTTTGAATCTGCTCCTACTTCAGTATGTAATCGCTCCTCACGTACTCGATACAGTGCAGCTACTATTCGTTGGAATAGTGCTAAGTAGCGAAAAAGTACCTTTCGGCGGTACTTCGGGCAAAATCCTCAACGTGGTCATTTTTTTAAATAGTGAACGTATTTGCAGTTTTAGTAGCCTGTAGAAAGAGCAAATCTCTAGTTTATGATGACGTATTAACTTCCCAGATTGCATGAGTTTGAACGGAGTTATGGCTTTGGAAAGCGGAAAAACTCGCACTCATTACGAATTTTCCTCGTTAATTTTGCAGAAATCCTCAACGTGGCCATTCTTTGAGTACTGGACGTATGAGGCTGCTTTAGTGACCGTTAATAGAGAAAATCTTCTAGTTTTGTAAGACTTATCAAGTTTTTTAAATTCGACGGAAATGAAGCAAGTTATTACTCCGAAAAGTGTAAAAACTCGTGCTCGTCTCGAATTTTCCTCGTTATTTGATCTAAATTAGTTATTTCTCATGACTTCCTAAAATTTCAATACTGATTAGAAAGAGCTCTTCACAAAACTTCCAAATCAGCTTTCAGATTGAAAATTCGTTAACTTTGAAGAAAGTTATAATCATTTGAATATTTGTTCCAATTACAATAGTAAATAAGCTGCTCCACGTCAACGCCAAAGTCCAGTCAACACACAGCTGGCGGAGCTTTTACAAGGCTTTCCTTTGAGCGAAAAGGGGACGTGTAAAATTGAGAACCATAATCTGTGTAGTACTAGAATTTGTAAGTCTTGTGGAGGAAATAAACAAAGAAGAGGTGCTGTCATAGTACCGCCATTTCTAGTGACTAGTTTGACGTTTTTGCTCCGTTTCTCGTTTGCTCGTTGACAGGACTCGTCATTAATGATCATTCTTTGACTTTTTCACTTTTATGCTTTTTGAACAAGTTTTTTTTGTGGACGATGGGGTAGCAGGGCTTTTTTATGAGCGTTTTGGTGGCGAATTAAACAACTTTTTCATAGTTCGGCTTTTAAGAGGGTTGTTTCATGGACTTCGGCTTGCGCAGAGGATGGGGGGGTCGTATTTCCAAATTTTTTCTCGACGCCTCGCTTGACGCCTGCTCCGCAGTCGCGAATCGCGCTACGCATGATTTCCTCGCATGCTTCGCTTTGACTTCCTAGATATACTATACCGGGGCAGAGATCATAGGAACCACCCATTATATTGGGTCGTCCTACAATTCCTAGCTTTCTCTTCGCATTCATATTTGCTCGGATCAGATCAGTGTCGTAGCAAAATATGTTGGTGTTTTGAAGAATAATAATACCATATAACTCGAAATTTCGACCGAGGGGTTTCAAAAGGTCAAGTGGGCAAAGAGATAATAAATAGGAATCGAAATATATAAGCGACTGAAGCGCACGATTACGCGTTGCGAACATTAGCGGGATAATCCCACAAGAAAGGCAATTGGCAAGTTGGGCTCTGTAATAATCCAGTTTCTGCGATCGGGCATCGAGCAATCACCTCAATCGCGTAGACAACAATCGCAGCTGCTGGCTCCTTGTGTCCCATGGGAAGCGTCTCGTGAGCAGATTTCGAATCCAGTAGAATTCGAAAAACGGGTACTCTAATGAGCTCCAGCTTGTTTCACAGGTCACATGATAGTGGTGTGCAACATTTTTACGCTGTCGATAATTTCTCCCTCGCACGACGAAAAGGGATTTCATCCAAACAGGGTATTGCAGTCAAGAAGACTTACTTAAGAGTGGCGAACTGACTAAGTTCAAACATATTCTCACCGTCTAAAATTGCCAAAATAATGTGGAAAGCTGCCGAGGATTTTTACTCTTAGGCATCAAAGAGTTTTTAGAGGCAACACGGTGTTAAAGGGATCGCAGGTAGTATCAGTGAAGCCGATTGTGCAGAGCCAAGCGGGCTACTAACATAATTAATATTAAGTTTTCGGAAAAGTCTGCCCATTTTCTTCTTCATCTTGCAAAATCTTTTGGGATTGTTTTCAAAAATCCACTGTAAAAAGTGGTCACGCTCTCTCCATAGCATTTCTTTCGTAGCATTTCGCAATCTTTATAGCCGAAAAATCGTATTTTACTAAAGATATGTTCGACTGCTCCTACTTTCATAGGCCCACAAAGTATGTCGATTGAAGCGATGCAGCAAGAGACTTCGTGTTGTGATGGACCTCCATAGTCTTTCACAATATGGCAAATATTTGTTACCGATGTTTAGATAACCGAGAGAAAACCAACCCTGGTACCCCGTTACACTAAATGAAGTGTGTATTCTGAAGTCGATTGGTGCACGATGGCCTTTCCTCAAATCTTCTTAAAGAGAAGAGAAATAAAGCAAAACGAGATTAGGATTAGGTCTAGGTGAAAACGGCCTTCAGAGGCCTTTAGATTTTGCATGAACATTTTGATTTAGCGCCCTTTCTCATTTGACGCGACAGCTTTGTTGGTGGTTATAATAAATGAGATCATCACGTTAACAACACGCGAAAGCAGGACTGTTTTGGATGCGTAGAACAAAGGATTGCAAGTCTGATTCCAGTATGCAGCCTGGGAGGCAACTTCGAGAGCTCATGGGCAAGGGTTTCGCCGCCGTTTTCGCTGCCAACGAACTCTACTGCTATTGGAGAACAATAACGTTGACAAGTTGATCGGTTTACCGCATGGTACATGGAAAATCTGGCAAAGTTTGCTTCATCTCTGCAGCGCTCACTCACGAACTACGAAGAACGCCCAGCAAAAGTCTCCCAGCTTATTATGGGACGACCCGAACCCCCTGATGTGTTCACCAAGCCTGGCACAGACAGACTACCATACGACCATATGCCGTCGATGCAGCTAAAGGAGTGCTTGATGACCCAGACATACTTGGAGAGGATTCGTCTAC